AGCCGTGGAAGGGGGAGCGCAGCCCACCCGCGAGACGGGAAAGTTAGCAGTTTCGCAACACGCGCACTCTCTCAAGGGCCAGGACCGCGGCTTTACAACAGCGCTGACACAGTCTCATCGCGCTCTACTGGAAAGGGCCCTGGCACCAAGGAAGGGGTGGCGGAAAAGGGCCCAGGACTCTCAACGGTAGGGTGGTCACCCCTACCGTAAAGCCATCCCTTTGTCAGGCAACGTGGCCCCAAAAGAAGCTGAACTGTCAGTTGAAAGGACAATCCTGGACATTGGAACATGCACACGGATTTTTTTCCAAGCTGGAAGTCCTCAACAAGCAAGGCTGCCTTTGCCCTGGGATCATGCCTTCTGAGCAAATATACGGGAAATCTCAAGGCTCTTCATGATAAAGTTCAGTTTGATTTTATTGCACAGCAGACAGGATACAAGCAATGAACTGTTTGTTTTGTGAGAGATCTTTAAGCTATTAAAAAAAAAACATTTATGTCCCAAGCAAACCCAGGCCAGCTGGGGCTCAGTTGTGCATACCTTTGCTAAGGTCCTCCTCATCCAAGAGCTTGCGCTAGCCTTGTTCTCAGCCCGCAGTCCTCTCCTGCAGGCATAGCACCCCGCTCACCTACTGAAGCTCATTTTTCATTTGGATTGCGGATAAGCACACTCAAAATCCTACAAGGGCTCAGGAGAAACTTCTGCTTTCTCTCGTGCACGAGTTTAACCACACAGATCTCCACATAAGTGAGTCAAACCCGGGCTGCGCCAAAGGCTGCGAAAGTTTTGCTTCCAAGTTCTCTAGCTGGTTTCATCAATCAGCCACAAAATAGGGTAAAACCACCACAAAACCAGAAAAATCTTTCTCCTTTAGCAATGTGACTAGCTCAAGTTTTGGGCACCACTAGATGGTGGTCCTGCCACATCAGAAACAAAGCAGGCAAGGACAGATCCTGGGATGGGCCCAGCCGCTCGCCGAGCCGGCAGGGCAAGTGGCAGGGTGCAGGGCCGAAATGGGGACGTTTTCTCCCACATCGATGCAATAAGCTGGGTAATAACGTCTCTGGGAGGGCAACACAGTTTCAGCCACTCCAGGCACAATCTAGCAATCCAGTTCTGCTGAGCTCCCCGCAGCCCTGTACTATGAGCACCAAATGCAAGTTTTTTTTTCATGGGATGCCCTCCAGAAAGACCCCAGCATAGAGCCAGCAGTGACTTGAACCCTCCCTGCTCCCCCAGATGTGCATCGCAACTGCAGGCAGAGCATTTACACAACAGCCCTTGGTCTACGCAGGAGTATTTCTAAACAAATCGCAGCTGGGATAATGCAACTTTTTGGAAATATCAAGAACAAAGCAGATGCCAAACACATGCCCCTGCGTCAGAAATCTGTCTGGCTTTGGTACCGTGCCTTTTTGTATGCCGCTAGGCAGATAAAAATATACTCTAAAGCCCTGCAGTAGGGCTCCCTCCTATACCATTTTGTCCTGGCTTTATTTCCTGGCACGCTGTTACACCAGGAAAAGGCAGTGCTAGACAGGGCTACAGACAGCTGAGCTGGGTCTCAGGGCACGACAGAAGGATTTCTGGGGGCAGTAAGGGAAAGTGGGATGATCATCTGGGAAAACGGGTAGGCAAGAACAGAGTAGAAATCTCACAGGAGGCAAAAATAGCCCAAGGAGCTCCCCAAGCTGCAGAAGCACTGGAGCAGCAGGAGGGGGAAGCACGACACCCACCTCTCCAGCACCTACCAGAGGTCTGGACCCACCAGAAAGCCTCGGTAAAGTCCTGGGCATGTCCTTCTCGGCATCCCCTGATATCGCAGCCTACATGGAGCAGCGCGTCGGCCAGCTCCCGCGATGAGAGGGGAAAACAGAGCGGAGAAAGTGGCGGAACAAGCGGTGGCAAAGCAGAAATCTGTCTCACATGACTATGTACTGCTTTACTAAGATGCTAACGCAACCGAGGCGCTTTCCCTTTAACGTCACATTACGCGGTGAAAGTACCTGAATTAACTTTTTGGGTCCATGCAATCAGTAATGCATTATGCTAAAATAGTAATTAAATCTGCAGTTACCTAAGTTCACTGCCTTTCTCTCCTGTCCTCCCCTCTGCTCTAAGGCAGGAGATCTCCTGCCCCAAATTCTCCTTTGCCTATTACCTATTTCTTTTCTTTCTTTACTTGTACCATCTTACTGGCGTCCGTGCCAATGCAGCCTTCCTCTGAGATGCATCCAAACGCTCCCCGTTCTCCGCGCGGTCGTTTCACAGCGGTGTTGACGGAGATAGCACGAACCCTTTAAGAAAGTTAACTTGACAAAAAACAGGCACCACATGTCGGCGGTCCAGCTGCGTAACTACAGCAACGAACGATCTAAATAAAATGCCCTTTTAAAAAAATGATGTATTGGCTCGTTATTACAATACAGGGTTACTAGCTAAAACATTTACGGGGACAGCTACAGTAGCATTCATTCTCCTTTCTGAGAACTTTGCCCTTCCTGGAAGAGGAGTGTTTGGAACTCAGAGCACCAAAAATGTAAAAAATTGCAGAAGGTCAGGGAACGAGGGACACGAAAGGAGTCGACAGCAGCAAAAACCACGTCAACCAGACGCCGGAGGCACCGGCAAGCTGGCACTGCGCGGTCTCAGGCCGGAGCGGGGTTATAAAGTGCCTCTTCCCGCGCTCCCTGCTGCAGTGGTTCATCCCCGGGCAGAGCGAA